TCAGATTTTAACAATTAAAATAGCAAATAATGACTAAGATTTATGCTACTAATCGAATCAGGCAATCGAAAATAGAAAAAAATAAATTAGAGAAAATAATGGCGTGCCCTACGATTTTTTTTTTGTGAATGTTTTTTTAGGTTTCATCTATTATGCGCAAATTGTAAGACATGTCTCTGATACCACTGATGGATTTTATATGTTACAAATCAATGTACATGTACAAAAACAATTAACACTTAAGAGTGCATGCAACCTATTTGATCTATTTATTTTAACAACTAATAGCAACATACTTATGAAAGTATAATAAAGCCTAGTTATAATCGAAAATACCATTTCGGATTACATACCTTTGATATTACACTAGTAAAAAATATCATTGAATCCCTTCTTGGTCTTCAGAAAGCTAGCACCAAAATAATGGTTTCATATAATGGCTGACACCTAAACCCTAGAAATTAGAAGACAACTTGAGAGAGAGAGAGAGAGAGAGAGAGAAGATGAATGAGATTTTTGGCTAGGGTTTTCCAGAAAGGAGAGTTCACAAAAATCATAACCAAAGGTGTCTATTTATATTTGTAAGGTAACTATGGTAAAAGATAATCTGAATTCAAAATAATATTATTTTAATCCAAATCAAGTGTTTATTCTTATCAATTCCTAAAGGCTTTCAGGAGCTCCTCAATATCCAAAACCATCCAAGCAAGGAAAGATCTAGAATCATTTATTTGCTCAACTATTAAACAATTACAGATAAACTCTTATACTTCTAATTAATTCCAGTTGACTTAAAAATAATTTCAAATTAATTCCGATCAATTTTAAATTAATTTTAATCAAACTTGTAATTAATTCATTAATCATAATAAATTAATAAATCATTTTCTCTTTCCCCAAAATGTCATTCTAAATTATTTCTAATTATGAGGACAATAAAAAAAATAACAACGATTGTAATTACAAGAATATGATCATTTACTTATAACCTTATACACCTTAATTCAACATATTATGAAGACCGGATCTAATAATTACCAAAAAAATATTAGAAACCACGAGGATAGTTCTTAACCATCATTTTGCTAAGAGCAATGACGTTTTTAATATTTAACAATTTTTAAAGTTTCAACTTATAAGATATTAAGCACCATATATTTTTGTATCATAATATTTTTTGATAATATCATTAGATCATAATCATATTTAAATAATATAATTTTTGGATCATAATAAATTTAAATAAATTAAGTTTTTAGTTATAATCAATTTTGGATTATTATATTTTTTATATCATAAAAGATACACTTGCCATCATAAATATATTAATTTATAATACTTTTAGATTATAAATATTTTCATTCTACCTCTTTTTGGATCCTATTATTTTAAATATTATATTTAAAAACCTTGTAATCTTAATAATAAAATGTGACACTTAAACAAATTTATATTTTTAAATCATTTCTTTTTAGATCTTATTATTTTCAATAATCAAGATTGTAGTTTGGTTTAGTCTAATATCAAAAAAGTTGCTCTAGCTGCATTTCTTCTTCTATTGCTTTTTGAAAGAATGACCATCTCAAATTTAGATATTTATCAGAAATTATTTATTATAATACTATTTTACCAAATAATTGTTATATTTGTTATCGATTAGAAATTAAGAATAGTAAGAAACATATAAAGAATGAAAGATTTTATTTAATGTGGCCTTTTATTTAATGTGAAATCAGGTCACACTCATGTAGGCCTTTTGGGTAGTCACGTACGTAAACCGTCTATTGGTATATGGGTGTATTGTAACGGATAATTTATTTTATTTTGTAGCCACTATCTGTCGGTAATACCTAGTTTTGTAGTATGTCGGAAATCGATCGGTGTTCCGTCGCCAAAATCTGTCGATAATACCTAGTTTTGTAGTATTACCTAATACCTACTATGTCAATATAACAAAAAAAAAAAAGTTAGAATTATATATTCGTTAACATAAAATATTATTAACACAACAAAAAAAAAATAATAAAAAAACGAATTTCATAGCTCAGAAATCACACCACTTTCGTTATTATGTTACGCAATTCATAATGAAATCTCGATCTACGTGAAAATCAAACGAATAAAAACTAAAACCCAAGGATAATTAAAAGAAAAAAAAAATGAATGGCACACATCACTGATCACTTGCCGCTTTTTTATGCTTAAAATCTTAAAATGGGCACCATCAAGTATTCCATATAGTAGAGCTGCAAAAAGGAACAATGAGTATGATCCGTTAAAATAATTGCCATTTAAGGTCTCACGGTGGAAATAAAAAACAAGATTGTATTTAACAGACGAGTTAAAAAACTAATTTTAGCTGAAATTTTTGTTTTCACTATTGATAACTAATATATAATAGTATTTGTTAAAAAATTGCTAGTAAATCACAATTCAAATGTAAAATGGCAGAAAAAAAAACATTTCGATATATATATATATATATATATATATATATATATATATATATATATATATATATATATATATATATATATATATATATATATATATATATATATATATATATATATAAACAATTCGACACAAATTTTGTTGATATACTATATCAAATGTTTATAAAGCTTCAACTTGCATATTTCATTAAACAAGATTAGATAAACAATCACAAAAGTTATTGCCAACTGTTATTTTAGATTTTTTTTTATATAATATTTTTTTAAACTTACATTGTGACAACTTTTTTACCAAGATTTTATACGATTTGATTACAACGTCTTCTAATATTTTTTTAAAAACGAATATGTAACAAAAAGAACTTTTACATGGTTATCTAAAAAGAATTTTGTAAAAAAAAAATAGAAAACTAATTTGAAAAAAACAATAGTTTGTTAAAACGAAATAATATTTAAGAAAGTTGTAGGAACCAAATATGTAAGAGTACTTTAAGAAACTAATTTATAAAAAAAAGTTATAAAAATTATAAGAAAAACTAAGTTTTGTAAAACATTTAAACACAAAATTCTACAATAAAAACTCTTAAAAAAGCTTGAAGATAGAAAGGTATATTTAAAAAACTTAAAAAATAATAATAATAATAATCATAAATAAAATAAAATAACTCAAAAGTTATTAATAAATAAACTAAATAGTTTTTTTTTTTTTTTCTAAAATAATCGAACTTTGTGGTCTCACTAATTCAAAAGTAAAATGGCTAAGTTAAACACGACATAAATAATAATTAATTATAAATTATAGTAAAGCTAGGGTTAATTATTAAATATGTGGTAAGATAAGTGCAGATGAGAATAACAAAATGGATATCATGATTCTGAATATAATTTGTCAAATCATATATAAACTTTAAAATTGTATTTTGTGAGAAAATGTTCAAACAAAATTCAAAGTTGATACAAATAATTACCTTCCAAATAAACAAATAGAATGATTCAATAGCCACGTCACTTTTGAGATCAACAAGGTTTGCTTCTCTCCAAAGAATAAAACCGAGAATGCTATGACCAATTACCTGTTCACCATATTTACACAATGTTATGATCAGAGCCAAGTCCAACCATCCATTAAACGAAAAGTTAAGATAAACTAAATCAATCTATATTTGTCATGAGGAAGATATATAATAAAATTTAAAAGTGATATTATTTTTAATAAATAAAAATAATTTTATCACATGTTTTTCATACATTCTTTTTAGTAAATGAAATATTTTTTTTTTTCACTTGTCAATCTTTAATGAGTTTTAACACTTTTCATTTTATGGTATTTTTAAAATAAAAATTATCCACTTATCAATTTCTATTTTATTTCAATTTTTAAAATTAAGGTTATATATTTGTATATATAAAGTTTTAAATATAATACCTTGTATATATGAAATTAAAGAATGGATACGTTTCTTTCTTTCACATTTTAAAATTTTACATTAAAAAATATTTAGTACTAATGTTTAATTTTTTTTTTAAATTAACCCACATAATATACGGGTATCACACTTAGTTATTTTATATATCATTTTATCATAACTTTAAAATATTTATTTTCAACTTTTCATTTATTTTATTTTTTTATCTTTTAACACTACAAGAATAATGAACATTAGCGGCGACGTTTTACTGGCGCCAACTACCTTTAGCGGCGACACATGACTTTCGCGCTATGTGTTGCCGCTAAAGGTTGTTGTCGCCGGTAAAAACGTCGCCGCTAATGCCTATCGACCCCGATCCGCATCGAAATATGAGGTGAAACCTTAGACGTTGATTTTGTCCACCAAAGTTTCCCCCAAAGTTGTCGCTGATAATACTAAAAAATTTTGACCATCAAAATTTTCCCCCAAAGGTGTCGCCGTTAATACTCTATATGTCGCCGCTAATACTCTATTTGGCGCCGCTAAAATCCGCCGCCGCTAATTCCCTTCGCAGATATAACCCTATTCAGCTCCTTCTTCCCTCTTGTGTGAACTTATTTCTCTTTGTCACCATCATGCTTCTCTACCGGATTACACATCACCACATGTTCTGTATATGTTTACTTTAAATTTTGTATGTAGAATGTGTATTTTGTATATGTTTGTGTATTTATATGTGTATTATGCATGTATTTGTGTATTAGTGTGTATATATATATATGTATATATATATATATATATATATATATATGTGTGTGTGTGTGTGTGTGTTTTATATGTATATTATGTATGTATTTGTGTATTAGTATGTGTATCATGTATGTATATGTGTTTTTGTATATGTATGTATATGTTTTTTTATGTGTATTATGTATGTATTTGTGTGTGTATGGATGTATATTTGGTTATATGTTTTTATAAAATTTTTATATTTTTATAACAATTTTTATAATTTTATAACGTTTGTTTGTATATGGAAATAATGTTTTAAAAAAAATTAAAAAAAGGAGAAAACTACAATTATATAGCGGCAACACTTTTACTGGTGACGGAAAGTATTATTGGCGACAAGGTATTAACAGCAACGGTAAGCATTAGCAGCAACGAATAGGGTATTAGCGACAAACCAACAACGACGACCTTTTAGCGGCGACGGGTCGCCTGTAAATGTATTAGCGGTGACAATTGGGACTTTTAGCGGCGACGCCTGTCGCCACTAATGGTCATTATTCTTGTAGTAATATTATTAATTTAGTTTCTATAAATTAAACATAGCATAATAATTATATTAATTTTAAATTTCAAACTTCAATTTCAATTTTAATTAAATTTACAGTTAAAACATTTATATTTAACATTTTGTTATAATTAATATGTTTAATACAGTGACAACTAAACACACAATTTTAATTTATTCTTTTGCATGTTTTTTTTTTTCTTTTTATTTTCTTATAATTCTTATTTATTTCAATTTTCAAAATCAAATAAACATGTCGTGTAATTTTTTGCAAATCTTATGGACAAAATTTGAATTTTTTAGGATTGATTTTGTAGAAAAATTAACCAAATTAACCATAAAACTCGTTAAGTGGGTTAGAGTGATAATTTTACTAAAAAGTTATGGTAATAACAATAATAAAAAAAAATATTATGACTTTTTCCAATTATACATTAAAAATTTAATGCTCTTATAATATTAGTCCTAAGAAAAATATTGTCCTTTCGGTTCATTTGTAATTGTACTCTTATTACCGATCAATAATGAAACTTTAGCAATTTTACGTTCATTAGTTCTATAATAGTTTTGTATATTTTTTTTCTCAACGAGGTGAGTAGAATGTGCCAGTAAAATATGATAATAAATATTATAGGTTTTTTTACCATTAAATATATATATTTTTTTCTCAATGAGGAGTATTTCCTATTCAAATTTGGTTAACATGTAACGCGAGTAAAATATTATCGGTTTTTTTACCATTAATGATCGGATCCAAAAACGGGTCGACGATAACCCAATTAATATGGCCACACCGTATGCCATTTCAAGGAGCCATATACAAAGCCAAAACACCTGCAAATATTTTTCAATTTGTTATTTAACTTGAACATATCCAATTTCCGTTGAAACTCGTACCAAAAGCTCATATAATTGGAGCTGACCGGTTTTTTCCCGATTTGTAGTGCGACCGAGTTGATACCATTTAACTTATCTCCCTCGACATCTGGAATATCCTGAAACTCATATTTTAAATATAAGTAAACTATCATTCTATCAACCTCAAATGCTACAAAACATTTTTATGCTATTTGTTCTAAGTATGACTTGTACGTACCTTAAATAGTGCGATAACTATCCCATATATGCTCATGAAACCAAATACAAAAATGGCATGTTGCGAAAGTGAGAGTGATCTTCCATATATATTTGTCTGTAATGTTCATCTCCATGAAATGGATTAGTCGTTGGTAATCAATTACTTTTGTGCTAATTCTCGAATAAAATATTTACAAATATATGTGATCAATATTTATGATTTCATGAAATTCAGTAAATAATCCATTAACCTGTGCATGGAGGTGGAACAAAATAGGAATGATCGCTCCTTGAACTGACCAAAGGCACATTGCAGCAAGTGCGGGAATGCTTTTCCATCTTAGTAATGGTAGCTACAAGTATACACAAATAAACTTGAGAGGTAGAAAATTATATATAGAGTAAATTACTGAAATTGTCCTTGTGGTTTGGTTAAAATTGCACGTTTGGTCCTTTACGTTTTTTTTTTTGCTCTCGGATCATCCATATGGTTTGATTTTGTTGCATTTTTCATCTCTGTGGTTTGATTTTATTGTATTTTTCGTCCCTTACATACATAAAGTTAGGGTCAAACATGTAATTTTTACCAAACCATAGGGACGAAAAACGCAACAAAATCAAACCACAAGGATGATCCGAGTACAAAAAAAAGTTATGAACCAAACGTGCAATTTTGACCAAACCACATGAGCGATTTCAATAATTTACTCTTAAGCTAGAGACTTACACTTCAACCGTTATAACATTCTATTTAACATGCATGGTTAAAGAAAGACTTACATTAACTGAATATGCAGTTCCAAAAGCATACCACAAAAAGAGACCTAACTTCAACGGCCAAGATTTAGTACTCCATCCGAGGCAAAAACCCTAATAACCAAAAAAAAAAAAAAAAAGTACACTTTTCTTTAAAAAAAAATCATAGATTTATTTCTTTCTTTGTTTAATTCTTGATTTTACTTGTACAATTTTTAGTTTGTGGAGCATACCAAAATAGCATACAATGAGGTGAGTAGAATGCCGGTTTTAACTGAAAGCTCCCCTGATGCCAATGGCAAATATGGCTTGTTAACCTTGTCAATGTCGATATCAGAGAGTTGATTTATGCCGACGACATACAAATTCGCTAAACAGCCACCTATGATCGCCTGAAATGTATTATATTGAATGAAAGTGATAATAAATATAAGTAATATTTAAATTTAGAGTGATTTGATTCTAATTTTTCAAAGATATAAAGATGCGAGTAGCAAACCTGCAAAACTCCAAGGAAAAATGACGGAGTAAAATCCGAAAGCTTCTGGACGGCAAGCAAAGATATTGAAATGATGGACAACACCTGCTCAAGAAAAACTTGGAATTCATATACAAAATTTCGTAAAAAAACAAAACTTGGATTTTATATATACACGGGGAGGCCTTAAAAAATTTTGGAAGCCTTAAAAAAAAAGGCTATTAACTAATCAAAGTTCAAGATAACAAATTACAATAAAATGTTAGGGAAATTGCGATGTAATTTGGAAGCCTTAAAAAAAAGAGGTTATTAACTAATTAACAAATTACAATAAAAATATTAGTGAAATTGAGATGTAATTTGGAAGCCTTAAAAAAAGAGGTTATTAACTAATCAAAGTTCTAGATAACAAATTACAATAAAATATTAGGGAAATTGCGATGTAATTTGGAAGCCTTAAAAAAAAGGTTATTAACTAATTAACAAATTACAATAAAAATATTAGTGAAATTGAGATGTAATTTGGAAGCCTTAAAAAAAGAGGTTATTAACTAATCAAAGTTCTAGAATTTTATTTTATTTATTTATTTTAAACCACAAATCTAACAAACTATTAAACTAGTTTTTAAATCCAATTATGAGCCCGATGAGATTATTAACTAATCAAAGTTCTAGATTTTTTTATTTTTATTTTTTAAACCACAAATCTAACAAACTTCTAAACTACTAAACTAGTTTTTAAATCCAATTATATTCAAGATATGATTTGAATCCTCAACTTTAAAAAGGAAGAACAATACCAGATAAGTTAATAACAAATAAAATAAGTACTACTAGCCTAGGTATGTTTTATTGAGACTTTTAATTAGTATTGCGGGATTGAATATTCATATATTAAATTAGAATCATTCACTAATTTGCTTAATGAATTTTATTGTTGCTAATAATTAGGTTTTACAGGAATAAACATTGGTGGAGTGATAGTAAGAATAAGAAATTGTACGGTTCCTTTGAGCGTGTAAGCTCTTGAATATCTATAAATAAGATCCAACGTAGCTCCAAGTGATTTGCCATCTTTTTGGGGAGGAGCAACCCCAGAATCATTATGTGGATTGATAGAAAATTCAGAGCTAGCGTTTGCCTTAAGTTTGGTTCTTCTTTGATGTCGATCAAATTCAGAGCAATACTTGTTGGCACTTTCAGAATCATTCAGTTTATAACCGTGTACATGATTCGATCTCTCAAATGTAACATTAGACTCCCTCAATCTAATGCTTTTCCACACTTGAACCTTTGATACTTTTACTTTCCCATGACCTAAACACACATATAAATATATGATTAATAAAAAAAATCCTTCTACATTTTGTTCCTATCGATCTATATCACCGCAAATGTCAAAATCAAGAGCCGAGATATTTAATAGATTCCAAAAATAATTATTTGATATGTGATGGATAAAAACAAAAATACAAAATATAGGAAATATAGATATTGGTAGGAGATGGTAGTCTTTGATGTCACCTAATTGGTTTAATTTTGTAATTTACTAATTAAACCACTAGTAGAAAACATAGTATATTTCAAAGGTGTGATCGATGGGAGAATTATATGTGAAATTATGTTTGAAAATAAGGAAAAAAGATTACCAGACCCAACTGCAGTTGCTACAAGTGGAGTTTGTAAAGAAGATGAAGAAGGTTTTAGAGCAAACTCAATCGGCATTGATTTCATATTTTTCCAAATAAAACCAAACCATGAGAAATGGAAAGCCTTTCTGCTCTATGTAGCGAAGAGTCGTATTGGTTATAACGAAGAAAACAGTTAGATGTTGCCTGTTCAATAGAGTTTGGAAATTTATCAAAATTACAAGACAATGACTAGCTTCTTGTCCGACCTAAATGTATTTCATCGAGAACTCCAACGACTTATCCATCTTAATTTGTTGGTTTTCTAATGGATTTAAGCTTTCAATCTATTTGTCAATTCATTTAAAAGCTTATTTTATTAAAAATTATTGGCTTTCATAAGGACTCACAAGCGAACCACGTCATGGTAGTGATAGGGTACGTAAGGCAATATGACACAACGTCACCATTTATAGGTTTTTGTCGTTTTCGTTTTCTTATTATTATTTTAAATGCTAGACCATTGGATTAATCGGAAGTAATATAAACTCCAAACATAAAAGTTAAACGATATAAATGAATATAGTCATATAGATATAAGCGATATAATGCACCCATAAGTGATAAGGATGAGAGAAACAACATAACATTGTTGTCCTAGACATTTTTTCTAGGCTTGTGGGGTGGTGGGCCCATGGCTGCCGAGCTGTTTGCCTCTACACTCCCTTCACTCTAACGCGTTGTCTTTCGTTCTTATGGAGATGCACACAATACAAGTATAGACATAAGCCATAATTCACATATACACAACTAGATAACTCCATGATTTGGTCGGTGTTCTTGGTAGGTAATCCTAAAAGGGCATTAACTGAATTATACAAACATATTTTTTCAAATTTTCCTATGATTACCTTCGTGACGGTTTTTTCGATGCCCAAAGATTGTTAGTGATTGCCGAGGAATGCCTTGTGATGAAATTGCCTAACGAATTTTTTTGTGTGGCACTGTTTAGTTTTGTGATGATTTTCTATGTAGACATTGCGGCATGACAAATTACCGATGAAAGTTTCACCTAATTAGTACATATTATATAGTAACCGTCCCTAAATGTCGAATTAAATTAATCAGGGAAAAGATAAAGAAAAATCCTACCTAATAAAATGAAAGTTTTTTTTTTTTTTTTTTTTTTTTACCATATGTCACTACTAGAAAACTAGGACAATACCTACGACACAATCTGTAAGTATTCAGTAGGTATAAGGCGATACTTACGCATTTGTTATAGAAAATGCCCTATAACATAAATGCCAATGGGAAATTTATACTAATAGATTTGCTACGGACTAACTACGGAATAGCTACGACCAATTCCGTAGGTATAATACCTACAAATTATCTACATTATTTACATACACAAATTGTTACGGAATAATTACGGATTACCTACGGGTGTGAAATTTGATTAAAATTGACTATTTTCCTACGGAATAGCTACGGAATCACATGACTACGAATTACTTAAACGATTTGTGTTTGACCAAAATTTACTTTTTTCCTACAGAATAGCTACAAAACTGTTTAGCTATGGATTTCCTACGAATTAACAACGAAGTTCAATTTTAACTAAATTTGATTTTCTTCATACGGAATACATACGTACCTATTTAGCGATAAATTTCAAAAACTAGTCCGTAGTTAATTACATTTTATCAAAATATAAAATTTTAAAAATTTAAAATTTTCCATTTTTTATCAAATACCATATATCAATTTAGTTTGTCTAAAATACAATACAAAATACACCAAAAAATGTCTCTAATATCAACTTTAACACATTTCATTCCATTGTCTCAATACCATACAAATGTCTCAAATTACATACAAATTAAGCATAACAAAACAAGTAAACAATATAAGTGTTTACAAACTCAATTGTTCCAAAATACATATCAACTATCCTCGGCTGGATTAGCGGGGGGAATACAAGGTTGATTAATTTCTAAACATATTTATCATCCTTATAACCATTTCTATTTGTTCTTTCATTTATTATTCTTCTTGTTGTTGTTGTTCCATGATGAAAAGTTGCGCACGCAACCTATCAACCTAAAAAATGGTAATATAATTAAATACTTAAAAAATAATAGCAATGTACTTTAGTTTATTATAATAATGCATTTTAGTTTATAATTATTGCAATACACTTAATTTTTAAACCATAATAGCAATTTACTTTTGTTTATTATCAATTTAATCAATATTATCACTCAATTACTTAACTTTTAACCATAATTGTGACACCCGATTTTTTATAACATGTGTTATTTTATGAAATATAGATATTATGAAAGCCACAGGTGAGATAAACCCTAGAAAGGGTTAATTTTTAGAAATGTTAATTATTAAAATATTATTGAAGTATATTGTATTTCATGTGATGACAATTCCGTGGATATAAAGTTTGCTGAAAATGGAGCCCGTAGGAGAAAGTTATAGCTATTAAAAGTTGAGATGAAAGTAGGATGCTATTATGAGAAAGTCAACGGAAGTTAAGTCAAAGGTCAACATTTGACCACCGCAACGTGAATCATGACTGTCACAACGTCACATTTCATTCTCACGACGTGATCAAGTGATTCTCATGACATGAGATGCGATGAATCGACGAGACACATTGCGAGAGAGTGCGACGTGTTGCAGGACGTGAGCTTATAATTCTCATGAAGTGAGATCTTGAAGACTATAAAAATGAGTGATTTTATTGTCATTTGGGAGGTTCTAGTTCATGTAAGTGAAGCGCTGCCGAGACTCGGTTGTGGGAGATCGTATAAAGTGATTTATGCTGATATAAGGGAGATACGAGGCTCAAAGAGGTATAATTTACCCCGTTATTATGTAATTGTATTATACAACATTATTGTTGGGATTGGATAGATTTTAGTATATGTTACGTACATATACTTGTATCCGTGATATGGTGCTGTTACGGACTTGTTGGTGAGATTTGTAAGTAAATCTCATGGTAAGATAGTTAGTTGGGACCATCAGGGTTATAAACCCTAATCTACTGAAATGTCTCGATATGGTAGATTTGGTTATTGGCTTATAGGGTTAAGCCTAGTATTGATATATTATAGTATTTAATGAGCTTGGTGACAAATAGTCATGGGGTGTAATTAAGGGTAAATTACAAAACGTTCTAAGGAACTTGGAAATTGTTGTTAGGGTTTGTGACGGACGGGAAAGTTGTATAGGTTAAGGACCCAAGTAGTGTGCCAACCAAGTGATCTGGTGAGTAACACTACTCTAACATCCGTTGGTATTGGTACCTGCGCATTTTGGTATATATGTATTGGTGATTATTATGACATTATATGATACCTCAGGATGGTATAATTATTTGAATATGTTATCTTAGATTTGAGATATGGTACTTGATTAGTTATATAGGTTATAATTATTTTTATATTGGTTTATATTTATCTCGGATTGAAGATGAAATATATATATATATATATATATATATATATATATATATATATATATATAATATATATATATATATACATATATATTGGATTATATTTATCTCAGATTGGAGATAGTATCATTTGACAGGTTTAGGCTTAATGCTTTACTAGGCATGGGATTATTATGCGAAAAGGTTTCTGTTAGATATCTTAGGAGATATTATGAATATATTTGCTTGATGGATTATTTTTTATTTGGATTATGTGTTTATTTTATTTTAGTTGTTATTCACTAAGCTGTAAGGCTTACTGATTTTACTTGTAAATGTTTTGCAGGTTAAAGATTGTAGCGCCTAAATCGATCCTGTGCTTGCTGCCAGCACGATCCTTATGATAGCTTCTTGTGCTTCAGTGTACCAGTGTATACCAAAATGTTTTGTAAACATTTTTGTAATTTTGGAATGTATTTTGGGGTATACCTGGTGAGAAAAAATGTCGGCGTTACAAGATGGTATCAGAGCTGTGGTTTAAGTGAATTAGGTGCTTATAGTAAATACCTAAAGTTAAACCGTAAGGTGGAAAATGTTATTTGATTATTCCTGGTAGAAATAACTTGGAATATATATATATATATATATATATATATATATATATATATATATATATATATATATATATATATATATATATATATATATAGTTCCACTAGCATAAAAGAGTTTAAGCAACTCCTGAGAGATTCTAGAGGTCCTGAGCTACCCCAATTTGATGAGAATGTGGGAAGAAGTCCTTAGCTTTTCCTTTGGCCTATAATAAGAAAGGTCCATCAAGACTCAAAAATTACCCTTGATCTTTTCAATCCGTCTAGTAGAGAATTCTTAGCCTTCATCATATATATATATATATATATATATATATATATATATATATATATATATATATATATATATTACGGGAATAATTTTGGTGCATGATATGGTATCTGTGCTATGCACATTGTAGTGGGTGTTGTGATTTGTGATGCGATTTTATTTAAATTATATGGTGAGATATTAGTAATAAATTTTTTTTGAATAGCTAGAATATTTGCAAAATATCGATTTGTAATTTTCGGGACCTTTTCCCTATCAATTTAAATCGATCCCCATTGGGAGGTTGGACATTCGATGATATCGTGTACGAGAAGATGAGCAGTATTGTAGTGGACGATACAGTGTACATGGTACGTTGCGATGTACGGTTGCGAAGCCTACTGCCGAATGCGAGGCATGATGATTTGAAGTGTCTGGTGCAACGATTACGATGTATGATATAGTCGAAATGAAGAATAGCATCATACTTTGATTTCACGCCATGGGCATGGTGCTATTACGATGTGAGCAATAAGTAGACTGCTATAACTGAATTGTGTAGACCACGACGTGAGGAATGTAAATCACGCCGTGAGGAAGGTAAGGTCATGATGTGACAGATGTAAGACCACGAAATGAGAGTCACAAGGTGAAGAATGATCATGGCCACAACGTGATTATAGATGAACCACTATGTAAGGATTAAATTTTGTCTAAGGCTGCCTTTTAGCTAAATGACTGGTTTTGGATGATAGACCATGAAATTACTATGTACG